CTCATACAGCGAAAATGTAGCCTCTGCTCGCAGGGTAGCGGCATTTTGACTCACACTCCAAGAAGAAACCGCAAGAAACAAAAGCTAATTAGCAAAATGCAAAATTCTTGACTGATAATCAAAGATGGAAAATGTCCTAGAACAAAAGCACTTTTCATTAAATAGAGAAGTGTGATTGAAGTGTTGCGAAAAATGTTTTTTAAAACCTTGTTTTCTGTTGTTTGTATTTACGCCGGTTTCGCCTTTGGAAGGCAAATACTAGATGAACATACCCGCTTATTATTAAAAGCTTTCTTCGTTGTACAACCAACATTAACACGACAACTAAGTTTTCCTTAGAACTCCTCCTTTTCCATTTACAGTCAGAAAACTGTTTTGAAAAAGCTTCAGTGTATTTTAAAAACGAGGCCATACATCGTCTCAGATTTATCTAACGGGTCACCGTAAGAAACGCGACAAAAAAATGCTATAACTCAAACTCATCTCAGATGCAACTCCTGAAAGCTAGTAAGTGACTCAGGTTAGAAACGTTTTTAGTTTTCTCCGTCGCTCTGTTGTAATAGCGTGCATGAAAGTTCTTACAAAAACAGCCATCGAAGAAACCACAGTTGCGACGCTTTGCTCAGCCAAAACCCAAATAAACAAAACACAACAGTACAAAGGAATCTTCTTAGCAGATGTATTTCTTTCCGTAGTGGCAGTAGGAAAACATGAAGAATTAAAAACGCAAAATGACGAAAGGTTCAGTTTTCGATAAACAAATTTCTACCTGCTGCGTTTTTACCATCAACATTCACATGTCAAAATTTTGACCAATCTTGGTCGAGGTTGTCATTTGTAGGTGGGAACAGGGAGCTGTGACAAGCGGTGACGCGTAAAAAGGAAAAGCAAGTGACATTTTTACATGTATATTATTAACAAATGATCACATCATTTTTCTCGTGCAATTTGGGATAAATCAGCACCGGAAATTCTTTGAAAAATTTACTTGCGCTGATTTCTCCCAAAATGCACTTGAAATCATGCGAATACCTATACTTGTATAGACACATCGATCCTGTTCAAAATGTTGCACTTACATCATTGATCCAGTTGAAATTGCAAATCATTTGAAACAAATGATAAAAAAATGACATCAGTAATTATATATGATCAACAATTTAAAAAAAAAACTGTTATTGCAGTTTTTTGGTAATTGATTGATTATTTTATTTACTATGCCCATGGAAATATTTTACTATGGTATCAAATTTAACTCCTTTCGCATCTGCTTTTCGCTACCTGCTAAGGACATGTATATCGTGATTCAAATTTTTCAAATTCAGTATCAATTGTAACTGCAGGTATAAAAATTGACATCAATTACTACTGCTATAACTAACCAGTAAATTTAAGTAGACATCATTTAAGCTCACAGAATTTTTTTTTATTACAGTATTTTGGAAATGATGCATAGTTTTATCAATTCACTTTGCCTGGATATATTTTGAATATTGGGAATGATGGAAATGGAGCCACATAATGTGTGATGTTTTACGAGTTCTAGCAAGCCTTTTGAACATAATTAAGATATCATATGTGTGGAAAGAAATCCAGTGCACACCAAATAAATCACTGAAAATCTCAACCGGTTTAAAGCCCACAATCCTATCCACGAGTCAGAATACAAGTGAGAAGTAGTAGAAGGCCGAACAGCAGTTAAAACGCTTCCGTTCTGTACTTTTTCCCAACCACGAGCTCCTCGAAAAATGCTCAAATCGAGGCTACAAAAACACTCGTCTATATAGAGCAGTCTCGAATGTTTTCAACACCGCCACCTTGGATATTTTTCAAATGGGACAGCCTATTATTTTAGGTCAAGTTTTTGGATGGCCACGTATGAAGGTTGAAAAGATGGTTGGTGATGTTTTAGAGTCGTGGTCAGGTTATTTTGATTATACTTAGAAACTTAAAAATTGGGTAGCCGCCATCTTGGATTTTTTTCTATGCTCTGGGGGATGCAAGAAAGTGTGTCCAGAAAAGACTAAATGGTGAAAAATGCATAACCCAGAAGGCATTGGTTGTCTTGTTTCTCCTGTGATGTCGGTCTCATGCCTTTAGCGTAATCCCTAATTATGCTGATACATTATGGCTAAAACTGTAAAAAATTGGGTAGCCGCCATCTTGGATTTTTTTCTATGCTCTGGGGTGCAAGAAAGTGTGTCCAGAAAAGACAAAATGGTGAAAAATGCATAACCCAGAAGGCATTGGTTGTCTTGTTTCTCCTGTGATGTCGGTCTCATGCCTTTAGCGTAATCCCTAATTATGCTGATACATTATGGCTAAAACTGTAAAAAATTGGGTAGCCGCCATCTTGGATTTTTTTCTATGCTCTGGGGTGCAAGAAAGTGTGTCCAGGAAAGACAAAATGGTGAAAAATGCATAACCCAGAAGGCATTGGTTGTCTTGTTTCTCCTGTGATGTCGGTCTCATGCCTTTAGCGTAATCCCTAATTATGCTGATACATTATGGCTGAAACTGTACCCCCCGTTTATGGAAGCATAATGGAGTGTTAAGATCTCAATTTGGAAAAATGAGGGAAAACGGAAAGATGTGTTATGAGTATCGATGTGTAGGTTACATGTACGGGTTGGTTTAAGGTGTTAATGACTGAATTTATAGTTGTCAATGGTCACAAGGATGTCGTTATTTTTCGTAGCACGATTTAAAAAAGAAAAACGTTATTTTGTATTAAAACAAGATCTTCCCGTGTAAAAGCAAATTGGAATATTCACCGAAATAAGTAATGGAGAACCTAATGCTTTTAATAATCTGAACAGGAACTGTATTATTCTCTACATAGAATCAGTACCGTTTATTGGCGAAAGAAAGGCTGTCACTTCTTGTCTCTGTTGTTGACCATGGTGGACTGCGATTGTACGTGATTCATGATTGAGCCAAGTATCCTCGAATACATCGAGGTACAATAACAACGAACACTTTTCAGTATACCGATAAACTTGAAAGGTGTGAGAAGTGCCAATAAATTGATTCAAGTTTTAAGCAATTAAACAGTTAGCTTTACTAAAAATATAGCTGAGATGACGCGCCAATGAAAATGAAACTGACAAGCGATGAACTTGCCAAGAAACGTTCTTCATTCCCATTGGTTGGCTTGAAAGAAGAAATCATGAATATAGATTTTACACAATCAGTATTGGCTAAAACTAAACTGGGCTTTTACTGTGGTCTGTCACATGCATTCCATGGAATCATGAACAGGCTTGTTAGAACGCAGGCGTGTTAGAACACCTCTAAGGGAATGAGAAGTGGTATGTCATATTTAGCGAACCGATACGTAAATGCAAACAACAAATACATGAAAAATTATGATAAAAAAACCTCTAAATATATCATGTATTTAGACGCTAACAACCTTTATGGTTGCGCTATGAGCCAATATTTACCAAGTGGTGGATTTAAATGAATGATTCAAGAAAAAACTGAAAAATTAAATCTATCAAAATACACTGAGCATAGTAAAGAAGGATTAATGCCAATAACCACACACTTGCTACTAAAAAAATCAACGTAAAAAAGACACTGTCAAACTATTGCGAAAGTATAAGACAAAAATATAGTCTCGCAAACAAACAACAACAAAAAGAAACAACAAATGTTATTGAAAATTAGATATACAACTTATTGCATTACTTTTCCGCCCGCACATAGCTTATGAACTTCCCGAGGCTGGGGAAAGTGTAGACATGTTACAAGTACAAGGTTTATCTATAGATGGACTAAATAACAGTAAAGACACTGTAATACAATAAATAGAATAAACTAAACATGAAACAAGGCAAGTACATAACAACGAGAAACATGAAAACGAAACAAAGAGACGAAAGCGAAATGAACAATTAAACATCGGATATTACGAAAGAAGGAAAATTTTACATGGAGCACTCAACACACGTCCGTCTATCTTAGGCAGCTGACGAACAGGTTAAAAAACTGATTCCAACATTAAACTAAACTCCAAATCGTCTAGTACGTTTGCTTGCGAGGTTCAACTGTACTTCAGTAAAAAGTGTCAATATCACAACAAATTGCGGCCTTTGCTTTCCTGTTGTTTAATTGAGCTGGCTGTGGCTAAACGCATAAAATCCAACATGTGTCGAGAAAAGGCAAAATGGTGGAGTACCCATAACCCAGAAGGCATTGGCTGTCTTGTTTTTCCTGTGATGAGTCTCATGCCTTTAGCGTAATCCTTTATGCTGATACCACAAGTCCACAAGTTATTTTTCTGTAATGGATTGTGTCTCAACTACAGGATACCACAATTCTTGGTTCTTGGGGCCAAAAGCTTACCCAGGCAGCTCTAAGCCGATCCTGCATTGAGATTTCATGCATCCCTTGTGACCACAGCTGAACACAGGTCGGTTGGACAAGGAACTCGATGGCCTTATACAAGACACAAATACAGAGAAAATAGAAGTAAAAACTTAAGGTGATTAAACTGACCAAAACCTTTCAAAGCACAAAATACAATGAAAAGTTTAGCGTCTCGTAGGTGCGACTAGACCTGAAACCTGGAAAGGATATTCCAGTACAAATGCTCTCCTTATATACTGTGAAAACGAACGAACAATAGTTTGTAATTGGAAAGTGTAAGAACAAATTCTTGACAAAAAAGACACAAAGAAAATAGCGCATACTTGCTATGCCCTCAAATGAAGGAAAAGTCATTTTCATTCTCCCTTACCGAGTTCGTCCGAATGAAAAATATTTCCCTTCTTATTCGGACTACACAAGAAAAACCGAGACTAAAGACAAGTAGAGAAAACACAGGTTGGGTATCTTGTTTCAGGTAGAACAAGCTCTGGAAATAACAAAAAAAAGGGCAAACGGACATATTACCTCGAAAAAGCTGTCAATCATCACCATTGCGAGTAGCAGTAAGTGAAGACCATGAACATGTATGTACCAAACGAGACTTCACGGCGCTACTAGCCCTCTGGCTACTTTGGCATTGTAATGCTCCTTTCATCTCCTAAGTTGTCTGCCAGTTCCTCCTGCTCGTATCCTTGCACTACCTGTGACAATATTGATCAATATTGATACATTGTAAACAGTCAGGTATTGGCCTTGTTTTCACGAATTAAGGAGTTGTTGTACCTTGTTGTTGAACCGCCACCTTGGAGTGCTCTCTTTATTTTGTCTCTCTTAGCTTGATACACCGGTAATCACTGGTAGAGTACCAGCCATCCTACGTAGGTCTTCAACTATCTGGCTGGCTTGATAAGTTTATGTCGCAATTCATGTCCAAGGACTTTTGCGCCCGCGAGATTCACCTTTCTTTATAGTAACTTTTAAAGTCCTTTTATTGGTATACAAGGCCCTTCATGGCCTTGCACCTTCTTATATTTCTGACCTTTTGAAACATACTCTAGGTCATTGCGTTCTTCATGTAAAGAATATTTAGTGGTTCCAAGAAGCAGATTGAAAACATATGGAGACAGAGCTTTCTCTATTGCAGGACCTAAATTGTGGAACGATTTACCTCTAGAGATTAGGAAATGTGCTTCAGTGGCAACTTTTAAGCAATCCCTTAAAACTTTTTTATTTAAGTTAGCATATAGGTTATGAGATTCCTTTTGTTTTTAAGATGTTTTTGATTTATATAGTAGATAACTTAGGCTCTATTTGAATTATATTGTATATTGTAGATATTTTATAATTTAGATTTTTTTTTTTTTTTTTTTTTAATTAGGTAGGGCTTTGGACAATTATTGGATTTTAGCGCTATATAAATAAAATTATTATTATTATTATTATTAACGAGCACAAAGGAGCTATGTTCCTCGATTTCTGCATTAAACAGAATATTTTCCTCATTGCTTTGAATTTTGAGTTGCCAGTGACCCCAACCTCTCGCTTGAGCTTCTTAGCGTCAGAGTCGGAACTGAAAAAGTAGACTTGAACGAATGCTTGGTATCCAAGAAAGACTTAAATTTGTCGAAAATGTGATCTACAGAGTCAACAGAAAAGACTAACACGTTTGAGGTTCCTTCAGGTTGCTTCAGATCAACATGTTCGTTATGATAGCTCACGTTTATTTTTGGTACCCACCATAACTTTGTGAAAAAAAAAAAATTAAAACAAGATTCACCTAGCAACTTTTGTGACATTACAGGTGTAGTATGCATAACCAAGAAGGCAATGGCTGTCTTGTTTCTCCTGTGATGAAGAGGTCACCTAATGAAATATGTTGATGAAAATGTTGGTGATATTTGCCCAGAGGCACACTCTGGAGAATTTGTGGTTCTCATGCCTTTAGCATTATCCTTTGTCATGGCTGAAACTGTTTCCTAATGGCATCACAGCATTAAATTGTTACAGTTTAAATGGCACAAGAATGAGTGCTTCTAGGCTTTACATAATCTGGCAGTGGCATAGCTCTTAGAAAATCATCTCGCAATCATTATGGAGAATCTACCTTCCAAATTAACTTTACTCTGCATATCCTTAAAAAAATCTGCAGTTTGTTACTAAGAGATATTAATTGTGGATTAATAGTGGGCTGCAGGCTAATTTATCGATACGTCCTCCTTTGTTTCCATTAGTTTATATGGACAAGTCTATCCTAATCAAAGCGTTGCACTTACATTATTGATCCAGTTGACATTGCAAATCATTTGAAACAAATGATACCGAATTGACATCAATTTTTATATAATTATAATCAATAATTTGAAATATAAAACTATTATTATTATTACATTATTATGATAATTTATTGATTATTTTATTATGCCCATAAAAATATTTTACTATACTTAGTCCATCTCTTCCAAAACAGATAAAGAAATATAGGGCATGATTGAAATGAAGCCACCATTTTAACCGCTCCAGCCTTTTATCATTACATTTTGGTTGTCATATCGTCAGCTAGAAAGTTTTATAGGGTTAGGTTTGACTGTAGCGTGACATGATCCTTTTTAACTCACTAATGGGTGTTTCAGTGGCACCCTGACTGCAGATACGTTTTGGTTCTCATGGTTGTGGCAGTGATCCTGTCCTTGTATAGGAACATGATAGTTTGTAATAGCTGGACCTATTTCAAAGTAAAAAGCATTTGACGTTACAGCTCAAGTTGCACTTGAAGGAGTCGATGCTTTTGGCCCAAGCAAGGAACCTTGTGGCATTCCGCAACAGACATTTCTAGTCTGTGAGTTACAACCTTTTACAATGGCAAACTGCTTCCTGTTTGTTAAATAACTAATCATCCAATTTAGAAGATCTCTAGTTATACCAATGGCTTCTAGTTTGTATCTCAAAATAGTGTGAGATACCGTATCAAAAGCCTTCTGAAAGTGTCCACCTACCTGTCTGTGATCCAATGCTTGCTTCCAGGTTTCAGTTAGATGTATCAGAAGACCCTCAGCTGCCCTGCCAGCTCGGAAGCCCCATTGGGTATTACTTAGAAGTCCTGTATCTGAGATAAATTCGTCCAGGCCTTCGCATACTATTGCTTCTAGGATCTTGCTGGGAACACTTAACATGCGGCGTTAATTTCCCCTGTCTGATGCATCACCCTTGTTATAGATGGTATGCATTCTTGATATCTTCCATTGCGTAGGTACAGTGGATTCCTCTAGCCTGCGCTTAACTGAACACAGTGTACAATCCGTTCATCATTGTTTCACCTAGGAGGTGAAATATCGAGGGGATATAGAATCAGGACCTGAAGTCTTACTTGGATTAATTATGCTAACTAAAGGCGTTTTAATAGCTCGTCTTGATCAAATGGAACTTGTGAAATTGTGGGTAAGACTTAATACAAGTGAGTCATATCAATGAAGCCCTCTGCAGAGTTAATTTTAGAGGCAAGGGTTGGTCCTATTGCTGTAAAGTAATCATTCATAGCCTCAGCTTTGACCACATCATCAAGGATAATATTGTTTTCATCATCCCTGAGTGGGCCAATCAGAGATTGCGCCCTTTTATTGGTTAATTTTTTATTCTCCAGGGTTTTGGCTTGTCTGCAAGGTTCTTCCCTAGAAAAAGAGATTCTAAACAGGCCTCATAAAAGTCATGTAACCTAAAACAATATCATCATCAGCATTAAGGTCTACATGCGAGGGCCCTAAAGTGGGAATGACAGCACAGAGGATGAGTGGAAGAGCCCTGAGGTACAGTGCTGATTGAAGTTGCTTGTCTGGCTTTCTGGTACACTATTTGCCTTGGAAAAAACTGACCAGGCTAGTCAGCTGGCATAAGTACAACTTGTTTGAGAGATATAAAGACGCTGGGTTTCAATGCCAGTCTGCTAAATATTGCAAAACTGCAAAAAATAACCCATTGTCTTCTTGTAAAAAATTGCTCTTTTGTGACAAACCAGAACATAGTTGATACAAAATAGCGACTGTGCGCTTCAATTTTTCAGGCATGTTTCGCCGGTAAATCCGTGATCATCAATGTTTCATATTTTTAAATCATCGTTGACGTCGAACTCTATCGCACGATAGATCAGAGGAACAAGTACACAGTTAAAAACATTCATTATTCATTTGTTTTTAAAAGGCAAAAGGGTTAAGTACTCTTAATTGTTACCGTTTCTGCAGCTCTCCAATCTTGTCATCGTTTTGGTTAGCTTTTTTTTGCATGGCGCCTCATGTGGGCCGATCTACCCTGTACCGTGTGGAATATTCTGCAAATTAAATAAGTACGGTGTGAAACTCATCAGGTTAATCAAAGCAACAGATATCAAATACCAATATCGGTTTACTTCTGTCCCCCACCCTTAAGATATTCCTTACCCTACCCAAACTAATAAAGGCCTCCCAAGTAACAAAACAAAGGCAGACAGGTCTGGCTTTTGTTTCAACTTGGCAGAGCTGAGAACTCTAAATTAAAAAAAAAAAATCCTTCATAGATTTACATTCCGAAATTTTTAATCGCTGGTTAAAATTTTTGGGTTAAGCTAAAAAAAAAAAAAAACATGTAGAGCACGTTAACTAGACCTAAGTGTCTGTACACCAACCCTTTCACTTCCAAGGAATGAATTAAGGAGTCTCGTACGTAAGGTGTTTCTAATTTTTGAGTTTGTGGATAAAATCTTTTGGCGTTCAAATGAAGTCTTTTAAACAGTATTTTCAAATGGTACTATAAGTTTTTCAGCATTTTACAAAATGAAATTTGTAATTTTGATCAATTTTGGCTTTAGCAATTTCTGAGAGTAGAATGGTTATCCCCAATCCATCAAATTGTGTTAATGAAATGACTGATCAGTACAATAACATTAAGTTATTTGATGATAAAAACAACTCTTTACAACAAGCAACCCTCAACTCCCTTTCACATGGGGTCATTAATATTACTGGGTATTCACATGCATATCAGGAGGTCCAGGCTCATACAAGAAGGCTCCGCCATGAGGTTTAACCTCTAACCCTTTTGTAAATGATACCATTTTCAACAGAAAAGGTACTCCTTTCGAATACCGTATATTGACAAATGGTACCCTTTTCATACATCTACTTAGAACTTTAATTGCATCCCTTTTAACTGCTGTAAATGAATAAAGAAATTAACCCAGTAGTTTACATTGTACACATTGTGGGCCCGATATACAAATAATTCTAAAATGTAAAAGATATCGTAAAAATAAGTTAAAGGGTAAAAAATTGAAAACGACTTAAAATGGCTACCTAATTAGTACATTACAATCGAGATAAAAAATAAAAAAGGTACCTTAAGATGTCCTTGTAATACTATAATGTTTGCGAATTGCATTAATGTTTAGGAATTTTTCGAACAAATATTTCTTAAAGTCACTTTCATTGGTCATGTTTTTAAGGTTCTCGTCTAGACGATTCCAAAGGCGGGTCGCACGCGCATAAGATGTTCGCAGACCAGCGTTTGACCGGCATTTTGGTACAGCCAAGCCATTATTAGGAGATAACCGAGTGTTGTAGCTATGGGTATTTTTTTATATAAGTCCTATAACTTGTGAAACAATCTAGACATTCCTTGTTCACAATTTTGAACATCATACACAGTGGTCGTTTCGGGCCTTACCGCAAACCGAGCAACAGTATTTAAAGATAGGCTTCACGAGTGGATTGAATAACAATTTTATGCAGTGGAGATTGAGTTAGCCTTTAGCTCCTTTAACTAGATAATTTCTTAAGTTCAGTTTCCCAATTAAGTATTTGATATGACTGTGCCAGGTGGACCTTTTACAATCGAAAAGACAGATTTTGTATACTTTAACTGGTGAATACATGCTCATCGCCTTTAGTCTTAAGCTAAGCTTGGAACTTCAGTCAATACTTTGCTTAGTCTAGGTCTAAAGTTCTTACCTTCCTGGCTTGACTTCACGTTATGCTTCCTTCCGATTAAAAACCTTTATCAGCCATTATCATTCATTATTCATTTGTTTTTAAAAGGCAAAAGGGTTAAGTACTCTTAATTGTTACCGTTTCTGCAGCTCTGCAATCTTGTCATCGTTTTGGTTAGTTTTTTTTTCGCATGGCGCCTCATGTGGACCGATCTACCCTGTACCGTGTGGAATATTCTGCAAATTACATAAGTACAGTGTAAAACTCATCAGGTTAATCAAAGCAACAGATATCCTCCCCGTTTAGGCCATTATAGGGAGTACCCCATGCAGGGAAGCAGCTGTGAGGCACTACAGGTGTAAACTCACCTGCCACACACTTTACAAGGGAACTCAGCAGGAGATGGTGAAGACCTTGGAGCATGTCCAGGACTGGTTTTCTTCAGGCTGTTTGACGCTGCAACTGTTGTGTTCTTCCGTCTTTTTATTTTAAACAGTTTTTATTGAATTAAATTAAAGACAAGTTTTACAATGTTATTTAAAAATAAACGTTAATTAAATAAATTAAATTATACAATTCCTCTTAATTAGATACTAACCTAAAAGAAAAAAGAAAAAGGATAACAAAAACAACGAAAAATATGTATATATATATGTTACAACAACAACGTCAACAATAAAGATGCCTGCTAAGGAAGAGAGTGGCATTTTTACGAACCTCAGTGCATCAACTACTATTAATTGCATTAGTTAGCTTCTTCCACTTTTGAAAATGAAAAAGAAGTTTATTTTTTTACGCATAACACAGAAGGCATTGGTTGTCTTGTTTTTCCTGTGATGTCGGTCTCATGCCTTTAGCGTAATGCCTAATTATGCTGATACATTATGGCTGAACCCACCTCCCGTCTATGGTAGCATAATGGAGTGTTAAGATCTCAGTTTGGAAAAATGAGGGAAATCGGAAAGATGTGTTATGAGTATCGATGTGTAGGTTACATGTACGGGTTGATTTAAGGTGCTAATAACTGAATTTATAGTTGTCAGTGGTCACAAGGATGGAGTTGATCTTGTTTTGATCTATCGCCATGTCGTTATTTTTCGTAGCACGATTTGGATAAGAAAACGTTCAGTTTGCATTAAGACAAGATCTACCCGTGTAAAGGCAAATTGGAATATTCACCAAAATAAGTAATGGAGAACATAATGCTTTTACTAAACTGAAAGGGAACTGTATGATTCTCTAAGTAGAATTAGTACTGTTTACTGGCGAAAGAAATGTTGTCGCTTAATGTCTCTGTTGTTGACCATGGTGGACTGCGATTGTACGTGATTCATGATTGCGCCAAGTATTCTCGAAAACATCGACGTACAATAACAGCGAACACTTTTCAGTATACCAATAAGCTTGAAAGGTGTGAGAAGTGCCAATAAATTGACTCACGTTTTAAGCAAAAGAACAGTTAGCTTTATTAAAAATAGAGCTGAGATGAATCGATAAATAAATGAAGATGAAACTGACAAGCGATGAACTTCATGGCAAGGAACGTTCTTTATAGAGGAAGAAAATTGATTAAAACTCGGTGAAGATGTACATTTCCATTGGTCGGCTTGGAAGAAGAAATCATCAATAAAGATTTTACGCAATCAGCATTGGCGGACTTTGCAATTTGTTCGTACAATGAAAAAGAAACTAAACCGGGTTTTTACCGTTTTCTGCCACATGCATCCAAAGGAATACCAGGCTTGTTAGAAAGCAGGCGTGTTAGAACACCTCTCAGAGGGAATAAGAAGTGGTATTTCATATATAGCGAACCGATGCGGAAATGCAAACAATAAATACATGAAAAATATGATAAAAAACCCTGATCGAAGTATATCAGATGTATAGAAAATAATACAATGGCATTTGAAAACAATATATAACATTATATTTACAGTGGAAAAGGGAAAAGCCTATTTACACACATCTTATGAAAACAATTATGATAAACGTAAACCTTCTTACAATACATTATATTATAAAGGGTACAAAATGAAGAATAATATTATTTGCACAAAAGGAAAAACCTATTTGCAATAAATTGAATTGAATTGAATTGAATTAAAAGAATTATCACAGCATAAAATTGCTACCTGAATGTCCCCACGAGGCAATCCTTACAGAACCTATGGCCGCATGTTGTCTGAACAGGCCTCGTCATAATGGCTAGACAAACAGGA